GGCGGCGCTGATTTAAATTAGTTTTGCTGTTTGCAGTTAAAGGACAAAAGATATTTTTACTTCATTGTCCTTTGCTCCAAATCAACAATTGTCTCAAGAGAGAAACTGCAATGATGTTTTCTGACATTAACAATTTGGATTAGCAAAAACAGCACACCTAACATGCGAAAGGAAGAGGAAGGGAAACGGTATCATCACAGAGATCATAAAATGGTGTCGTGAGTAGTCTTTTGTCCGGGACCATAGGAGAGTTCTGTAGCTAAAGGGAAGGACAAAAGCACAAGGCGCCACGGGTATAATGTTCCCCAGAGCAACAATGTCCAAAGTTTCAACTTGCAGCACATGGGTGTAACTTTAACTGGAATAGTGCGGATCAAAGAGGCACAAACAAAGTGGGTGGAAATGCTGCAGGAGTGTCTGTGCCGGAGTGAAGGACAGGTTCACTGGAGGGAAAGCCATTTAGGAGACGCAGGCTGAGCAATCACGCCTAATTACTGCCACTGTGTTTAGTGAACTCATAGGGCAGCGCCATTTACTCAAGAAAATTGATGTGTTTTTCATTCTCAAAAATAATAACCTTAACAGAAGTGTGTCAAAACAAAGCATATCACCTAGAAACCTCAATTAATAAATCCTTTTTTTCCTTTCCTGGTTGGGTTTTACACAATACATGATGTAGAGTGAATCTCCGATATTCATTTTACATTTGTCGATCTTCTCCTTGCTCCTTTAAATAAGTAACACAGCCTTGAAAATTTGTGGGGCTTAGGGCAACTCATCAGGTTAGATGAGCACAATCCGGATGTGTAACCTTTACACCGCAGTTGAACCTGCACATACAAGTGTTATGAAGGCTCCCTGTGGCACTCTGCTCTTCTGACATGGATTTGAAGACTTGCCACTTTATTAGCTGCTAAGCCCCCAATACTTGTTCTATATAGTGGAGGCCTATGTTATGAGCTAGGATCTCATTGTCTGGCGTTATTAGAGGAAGAGTCGGCAGCACTCTCGCTACGCCCCCAGAGACCGGCTTGACTGTTTGAAGGGAAGCTACAAGTGCAATTTAACCCATCTTATTTACAATATGATCTGTTACAAGGACATCATTGCTGCAAGGATTCACATCTAATATACAGCAGCCAGCTACATGATTCATTTTTGTTCAATTTCATTTGAGTATATTTGTCCGAATTTCAATAGAGCCTTAAAAATCTGTCAATTATTATGTCTTTCCTCTATACGATAGTCTTATCCATTAAGAGCTTGATACAACATCTACCATAATGGCGTTTTAAAATGAAAAACACATAAAATCTACTAGTTTATTAATAACTGCGCATAAGCAAGCCATTTCCTGAGATACTTATCAACTTTGTTTTAGCTTGGGGAAAACAAGCAATTTGTGATCACCACTTGTATCAGCAGCAGCTCAACACTTTCTTCTCCAGAATAGGAAAGAGAGGTTGACATTGAATAATAAGTGCCATAGTGCCATCTAGTGCACAAAGAGGGACACTGACGGGGGGCTGAGTGCAAGTAAAATATGCATAAATCTACAGTTATATGTGCACTTTTAAAGCCTGGTCAAATAGCCACAGCTGCTAAATAATAAAAGCTAACGGACAACGCGCCATTTAAAGAGACAGTCTATGTGCGGGCTTCTTTAACTACACCGAATGACCACAGTGAAAATTTCCACTCGGGGGAAATAAACAAGGAGACAAAGGTTCGTCTTCCAAGCCAAGTCTTTGACAACCTTCAGTTTGAGGGAGCCGCAAGGATAATCTGGTTCAGACAATGAGACCATGTTGACGGCTGTGCATGCAAATTAAGCTGCCGCCATCTAAATTAGAAAGACTTAACCAGACCTCAAGTCATCGGGCTTCATATCTCACCCATCGGGCCTCCTGGCTGTTAACTCGCCACTGGATACTATAGAAACAACAGAAATAATAAGTAAGAAATACACATCCACACAAGCCAAAACAAGAGTGTTGAATAATTGATTCTGTTTGTCTTTGCTGTTTTGGTGAGTGTGTGTGTGTGTGTGTGTGTGTGTGTGTGCACGCGTGTGTGTGTGAGAGTGAGAGAGAGTTAAGACTGAGGGTCTGGACATAGCACATGCCCCTGAGCGGAGCAGACACTGGCCAATGGTTTGTGTTAAAACTGTCTGATGGGCCAGAAGTGGGGGAAGGGATTGCGTACACACATGAGTATCAGTATTTATGTCCAGGGAAAATTCACACAGAAAGGCCAGGAGAGTTTAGAAGGCATAAATATGATGATGAGTTCACAGGCCCAACAAAGTGTTTTTGGACTTGCTCGCAGTAAAAATGAAGTAAAGATTTTCGGACTTAAAAAACACTGGTCGGTAAATGGCTTAGAAATAGGTATGTTGGAAGATCTTAGAAAGTCAATATACCTTCATTTTGTCTGTGCTGGTAATGAGCCATATTTTCTGGGGAAAATGGCTGCTTCTCCGGAGGCACCATGTCTACTGAATGTGGCCCTGATCCTGGATAAAACAGAAGGCTCACCAATCAATCTCTCCAGGTTGCCCACAGCCAGAGAAAGCAGCTGCACCACATGTTTGCCTTGTGCGATAGCGACAAGTTAACATACGGGCAGCACAGTAACCATCCACAAGCAGCCTCTAGCTGTCTTATAATGAATTCCCACCGGGATGAGGAACTATCAGAGTCAGTGGTGTTTCTGGAGGCTCGGAATAAAGTCAACACCTCTTCTTATACCTGATGAAGCTACGGCAAGCACATACACATGCAGTAGTACACACTCAAGTAGTACAAATGTGGAAAAAATACTATGTACACAGCAATTAAGATGTGCTGTTTATTAAATCTCAAATTAGGCCTAATTCAAGTGTTTCGCCTTCACGCTGAGACCATTGTTATTCCTTGGCTTTTAATAGTGCTTAGCGGTCCAGCAGCAATATTCTCCAGACTAATTTGGTGTGTAATATTGCAGACATTGTTAAAACACATTGATCATTTTACATATTTTAATGCTGTTGGGAATCGGTTTAATTATAATGCTTCAATAAATGAGCTGGTATAAAAACAAAACAAATAGGAAAAAGTGAAGTTAATTCTTTTTATTGTATCTTGTTGTTGTGTTTTATTTTCTCTCGACACTTGTGAATTGTTGTAGAATTGTACAGATGCTATTAAACATATTTATTACTGTGTAATAAACAACTGTATTGCACTCAAAAGAAATAAAAAAGAAATAAAGTTTCAAGAATGAAGTTTCCTGTATGATTTGTCAACAGTGCTCATGTATGGACTTGTCTGATAAGGTATTCCAGCGCCATTTGTCAGGGCAGTTCTATTTCTGTTTCTATGACTAACTAACTTCTGGTGCAGCCAATACAGCAGTAGGCTTGGTCCACCTTTATATATAGATAGTGTGTTGCTAACCTCCAGGCCTGTGCTCCACGGGCTCCCAGGGGACACATTGTGAGTGATGAGAGGGATGTGGAGCTTGGAAGATGCCGGGGAGAAGGTTTTAGGTGAGACTTGGTCCAGGTCTTGCAGGGTGCATCCCTATTTATTCACTTGCCACCTCCAGGACTGTCTGCAGATGTAGAAAACAAACAAAGCTCTGAGGGACCATATGCAACGGATTAAGCCAGACTGTCTTCATATAATTACAGTTGGCGTTAATGAGAATAATTTGTTATCCAGACTATATCAGTAGTAGTTTCATAACTACGAAGCATTGCTTTTTCTGTATAATCCCAGCATAAATGCTATGGTATGGTCAGCATTTTCGTTTTTAGCAGTAGGCTTACACCCAGTGTTTCATATTTCAAATTACACCTGCATATCACATACTAGGAAAAACACAAATCTACCTAATTAAATAAAATTAAAAAAATTCAACATAGGCCATAACAATACACCACAATATATTTTGCCATACTAGAATATATATGTAAATAGTATTTGATTATGTTATAAATGGGGGCATAGACATTTTTTGAATTTCCTTCGGGATTAATAAAGTATCTAACTATCTATACATATATAATTCTATAGATTTCTGAAAGAAATATTCATACTAAACACAAATAGCAAAAGCTAATATAAGTAATTACACTTTTTTGTTGCACCCACACTGACAGAGATGTCAAACCTTGTTCTAGTTTTTGTTTCATTTGGATAAATGCTAACAATTGCATATTAACCATAAATCAAGGCAATAAACCTGGAATCTGACTGTGATTTCTCCTATAGAATTCTGATATGTCCTATATACTATAGCATGTTGTGATGTCACATGAGTGCAACCAATTGGCCTAGATGGGCATATAAACTATGAATAAAAACTAGTTTAGTCTTTGCCAAGAATTCAACTTTATGTGCATTTTGTAACTAATTAATGGTCAAATTAATATTTTTACGACATTTTTTGATAACCCTACAGAAACATTGGTAAATAAGAAATTTTTGCAATTCCCATATCACGCCACTAGGTGTCACTCAATGATCATACAATAAACCATATCCGTCATGTCCATTATGTCAGGTGCATTACCTTTCCAGCGAAGGTCACGAAGATCCACCACTGAGAATAAATGTTCACAATCTGAGAGCACGCACGTGGCTGGTTCTCCTGTGTCATTATATTTCTACCAGTTTTATTAGAAGTCATGATAGTTTTCAGATGCATTAAGGCCAACAGTAATCGACTCATTTACCATTTTTTAAATAAAAACTTACCTTGGGGCACTTTTTTTCTCTAAAATCTAGTTGCATATTAGTGCACAGACGCCTGTACATTTCTGTTTAGACCACTGATTTCTCTCCCAGTCTGTAACTTTCTCAGCCCAAAAGCGATACTCTAATGAAGCTCCAGGTGAATGATAATCCACTCTTGGCTCTTTTCAGTCTGACACAGGTTTAATGGAGTTTCAGGTTAAACTTGGTGGTGATGGAGCCAGGATGGAGCATGTGTGCATGACGTCATTTCGCCATGTACTGTGCGCCATTTTGGAGGAAAAAAAATCACGGATAATTTCCGTGGTCTTGACAGATCTGGACCCGAGTCTTAACACTGATTTTGGATGCTATCTATTTCCCTTAGCAAGCCACATTGGTTCATAAGGTATCGGACGCCGTGTACAACAAGAGCTGCTAAATGAAGCAATGGCGGGTAAGCGACTTTTAAAGGAGGGAAAGGGGTCCTCCTCACTTGCTGTGTGTGATGGCCTGAATCTGCAAGTTAGCCACACATCTTTAGCGCTAAGTTGCTAGTTGTCAAAATGTGCCACTGTCAGATCATTTTACCGCGGGACGATCAGCTTTCACAGACTGCCTAATGATGTGCCCTTTTCTGCAGGAGTTGCAAGTGGAAATGATTTCCAGTGGTGTTTCTCTCAAGTGAAAGGAGCTATAGATGAAGATGTTGCGGAAGGTATGTAGCCACCGTTAGCTGTGGGGCTAGGCTACAGCGGCTTTTAGTAAGTTGGTGTGATGATGCTTCAGGGGCTCACCGTGTGATAATCGATAGCCATTATGAGACTGATTGGATGTTACGGCTTAGCTCTTGTGTGCGGCATTGTTTATACGGGTGATTTTAATTTAAACCATTGGCTGTTTCTCCTAATGCAAGTGTGCCGCTCTTTAGCTTTATGCTAGTGTGTGGCTAAGCTATTAAAGGGGAGCGACCGCGTCCATGACGTAAATGCTCTGCGTCCATAAGTTGTCTAATGACATCATACTGCTGTTGATCTATTCATCCATTCATGTTTACACATAATACAGACTTGTACATTCTGTGCTGAGGAGCTGAGGGCGTCCTAGCTGCTGCCTCAGAGAGCTCTGTGTGATCTGTGCTTCCTGTGACTCACTCTGATTTGTGCCCACTTTCAGCCGACATAATCTCAACTGTTGAATTTAACTATTCTGGAGAATTACTTGCAACTGGAGATAAAGGAGGCAGAGTAGTCATTTTTCAACATGAACAGGAGGTAAGATCCATATTGTAAACACTTAAAGGTGCACTATGTAACTTTTCTGGCGGGTCTGCCTCCTGCTTGTCTCCATGGAGACAGTATGGCTTTAAACATGTCTATCTGCCCACCACTCTGAGGAAGACGCTAGTGAGCAGTCGAAACTGTCAGGTGTGAAATTACACTCTAGGTCTGAAAAAAAGAACCTAATAACATATGTCTATCCGTATGGGGTACAAGCAGGTGACACCAAGTTACACTTCAGATCTCAGGAGAAGGGAGCCCATTCACAGTAAGACTGCATGTGTTTCAAATAGAAACAACTCTTAATTGAATAAATGCAGGGTGGATGTGTCTTATTGTGGACTATTCAAGCAAAGTAATAACATTTTCACAGAGACAAGTGGGTGCCGGACCCTGCATAAGAAAAGTTGTAAAATGCTCCTTTCAGTGCCATTACCACTGATTATTATGTCATATCAAGACTTATAATGGCTCAAGGCCTTTCAATGTGGCACTGTGTCTGGGATTCGTAATATATTTTGTGTTTTATGTAACCCCTTACTTTTTCTAATTTATGCTAATGCTTTAATGACTGAAATTAATGGATATCAAGATTATAATATTACATTTTTGTTTGAATTTATTCATAGATTTAACATAAAATATTTGTTTTTGTTTCAGTCAAAGAATCGCCCACATCTGCGTGGAGAATACAATGTCTATAGCACTTTTCAAAGTCATGAGCCAGAATTTGACTATTTGAAAAGTTTAGAAATTGAGGAGAAAATAAATAAAATACGATGGCTACCACAACAGAATGCTGCTCACTTTCTACTTTCAACAAATGGTAGGACATTATGCATTTTTTCTCCCTATTGTCAGATTGATATTCAATGTATATGCCATCTTTTTGTGTGTTGTGTTTTACAATAGATAAAACTATCAAATTATGGAAAATTAGTGAAAGGGATAAAAGAGCAGAAGGTTACAATCTAAAAGACGAAGATGGACGTCTTAGAGATCCCTTTAGAATCACCGCCTTACGGGTATGTTTGGATTCTTCTTTCCCCAAACTTCAAAACAACAACAAAATTAATGTATCGCATCGCCTTTCAGGTACCTGTTCTGATGCCAATGGATCTTATGGTGGAAGCGAGCCCACGCAGGATCTTTGCAAACGCGCACACCTATCACATAAATTCCATTTCTGTAAATAGTGATCATGAAACGTACCTCTCTGCAGATGACCTAAGAATAAATCTATGGCACTTGGAAATAACAGACAGAAGTTTTAGTATCCTTTATTCATCATTTGAGAAACATTCACTTCTAATTTTTTGTGTGCAATACAAAAAAATACTTCCTTAACAATTTCTCCCAGATATTGTAGACATCAAGCCTGCCAATATGGAAGAACTCACAGAAGTAATCACAGCTGCGGAGTGCCATCCACACCAATGCAATGTATTTGTGTACAGCAGTAGCAAAGGCCATCCGCCTCTGTGACATGCGAGCGGCAGCACTATGTGATAGGCACTCAAAATGTGAGTACCTAATTTTGAATGATGTTAGCTTACAATCATTCATTCCGCTTGCCTGTTTAGTGCTGTAAAACTTGTTTTGTTATACACTAAGTGTTTTGAACATCAAATCCAGACTCCTATTTCAGTGAATATTTTCAACAGTTCAAGTTCATTAATTGCATTTAGTGTGACTTTTTTAAACCTGTTGTGCACAAGTAATTTTTGTATGGATACATATTATTTTCACTGTTGTAGTGTTCAGCCTGAGCAATGAGTATTATGTTCCTTTTGCAAGTCTTTGAAGAGCCTGAAGATCCGAGCAGCAGATCCTTTTTTTCTGAGATAATTTCCTCAATTTCGGATGTAAAGTTTAGTCACAGTGGACGCTACATGATGACACGTGATTACCTCTCTGTCAAAGTATGGGACCTAAATATGGAAAATAGGCCAGTGGAAACATATCAGGTGTGTTTGCTCAGCTACTAATGTGAAATGTCATGCACAGGCATTTATAATATGTAATATTTATTGTTCACACTTGTTTCTTTTAGGTCCATGAATACCTTCGCAGTAAACTCTGCTCATTGTATGAAAATGACTGTATCTTTGATAAGTTTGAGTGCTGCTGGAATGGTAGTGACAGGTAGTGACATGTTAATAATTTGAATTCAACACTGGCGTTAAAAAATTCTATAAGAGTATTAACTAAAGTAATTTATGTTCCCTCTTCTCTCAAGTGCCATAATGACTGGCTCCTACAATAACTTCTTCCGAATGTTTGACCGGAACACCCGGAGGGATATCACACTGGAGGCTTCGCGAGAGAGCAGCAAACCACGAGCCACTCTCAAACCGCGGAAAGTTTCCACAGGAGGGAAGAGAAAGAAGGATGAAATCAGCGTGGACAGCCTGGACTTCAACAAGAAGATCCTGCACACCGCGTGGCACCCCAAAGATAATGTGATAGCTGTGGCAGCCACCAACAACTTGTACATTTTCCAGGACAAAATCAATTAAAAGATTTTGGGACTCCAGTGGATAGGGCTTTTACCATACCTGTGTAGTTAAGCCTACTACTTGTCTATCTGTATAAGAAGAAACGGCCTGGTTGTCCTCCAGGTCAAGAAGCTGAAAGCACGTCTCGACTTTTTTGCCACAGGAGGTTGACCCCATAGGCTTGTTTTATTTTGAGTCTGAGCTTAGGTTGATTTCGCCTTTGGCATCAGGGCAATCAACATGCCCCCTGACCCAGAATGCCCAATTCGGGTCTAATTGATGGAATAGCCCTCCCTGGAGGTCAAACTCTTGAACGTTGGTGTTTGTGTTGACATTTTAAGCCTTCATTTCATGATTTAACAACAGAACTCTTGGAAGCCCTAATGATGACGTCTTGTCAAAGTTATAACACCATTTTGAAGATTTTGGGCCCACTGAAGCACGCATCATTGGCCAATAAGCTTGACTGTAACATTCCCCCTGGCCATTTATTCAGGCCAAACCACAGGTGGAAGAGACCATGAATTTGGAACATGGACTTTTTCTTTCTTTTCCCTCCCTTTTACTTTATCCGTCAATACGATGACATAATTTCACTGACTGTATCTACTCAAGTACACGTTGTCATCCACATAATAAAAGAAACTAAAACTACAGATGTGTTTTAAATTTAGAAGTATGTATTAAAACATGTTTATTGCTTTGCATGTTTTTTATGTTGTAGAGAGCTGGAAATGTTCAGTCACACCACTGTCTTTGGAGCAGATCTCAAAAACGTAGGGGAAATATTATTTTTTGTCTCAGATTCACTGCTGAACACAAGGACATGTCTATAAGAACATTATTTTTACGTTGACCATATTGCAGGACGCAGGCTGAAAAAGTACAAGGCACAAGTTGGGGCCCAGGACAAAGGGAATCTGCAGCCTTAATATCTACTTTTATCTGTGACAGCTACGGTTTATGTCCCCAGACGTTTTAAAAACCTCATGTGCATTATTTGTAAATCCTATTTTATGTTCATACACTGCTGCTATATGTGGCTGTCTATGGAATCACCAAGGAGGAAAATTGCACAGCATACAGTTAATGTGCCTCCAGATTGTTAATAAGTAGAAATTTCAGACAGGCCTCATACATGTGCCCTTACTCATTTACTAAAATATGAATTTCACCAAAATTTTGACCACATGTTGCATATGTGGAATCTGTAGTTGTGAATGCGGAAATGAAGGTTGACTACACACATACTGATGACATTAAAACACATAATAATGCATTGTCTTGTCCAATGATTCCTAACATGGTGGCAATGTATTCACTTGTTTATTATTTTGACCAAAGTTCAATAAAATTTGAATTGTGTTCATTTTTATGTCATCATTTAAATGCTTTAAATAACTGAACAATCAAACACATTATGTAACATTTTTATTTAGCTTATGAAACACAATAAGGACCATAAATGTTTTTTATACACTTGTAGTACATTCAAAAAAGCTGAAAAATCAGTAAATGTAAAAATCACGTAACTAGATGATCCCTTTAGAATGATTCTTAAAATTTTCAAAATAAAATCTATTTGGTTGATTTTCATTTTAATAAATGGCTCAGACACATTGATGTAGATATATAAAAAGCAGCAACGGTCATCTGGCTGAGCAGGAGATACTGAGAACGCAATGAGGACTTGCTTTATAAACTGATGGTCAGTGTAGCTCCCTCTTGTCCCTCTGGAGCTGCACAAAATCCAGTTTTAAGGCATGAGCTGTATGACCACTACAATGTGACCAACTTAATAGGTTGAGGGGTTATGGGAAGTTAGGCGCTTTCCAATGTATATCCTTAAGGACAAAAAACTGTGTTAGTACATGCATGTGTGTTGATTTGTTTAATAAATGAGAACAAAAATACCTATTTTTGGTTCCATACAGTGTAGTATATTCATATTGTCCATTAGGTGTGACTTTGCTTACCCTACTCCAACAGCCAGGATGTGGGAAATGATTAATGATGGCAAAAACAGCTTCAGAAAGTCAGCTGAGAGAATGCCTCCCTTTTTCATGACACTGGTGTTCCTAATGCTGAGAGAGGTCGTGCGCTTGGGGTGCTTCAGCAGGAACTCCCTACAGAGAGCCACATTAATTTTTCATTGGTGTGAATAAATTATAATAAATGGTGGGCTGATTAATGTCACATTGCCCTCTTTGCACATACAGATGCCTTACACTCCATGAACTGCAAATAATAAACCCAGAACATTAGGTACTAATTGTGTTGCTAATCGATTAATCTGGCAATTATTCTTTCAATGAATTGATCAGTTGCTTAGATCACACTACCGCACAAGGCCATGCTGATGGAGCACTAAATGTGCACATGTAAAATGTAATTCTGATGTAATTACTTTCATGTTCTGGAGTGGAGAGAACAATTATTCACTTACTAAATTAGTTCTAAATTATTTCAATAATCAATTACTTGTGATTAACCAGTTGATTTGTTTTAGCCCTATCATATTTTATAACATTTTATTCAACTGTAATGTCGATATACATACTTGGGGGGATTATTTTCTGGTCGACTGGACCAATCCCAAATCCAGTCAGCATTTTTCTTCAGCAGGTTGTCTACTTCTCGTCTTCTTTCTTGAAAGTCTTCATCTGACTGAAAAGAAAAATCGTGATTATATAAATGCCATGTTTAAAAAGATTCTTGCATTACTTAAACATATATAGCCTAATGCATTAAATGGTGGCAAATCTACCTGTGTACTGTTTCCTTCTGAGCCTCTCCACACAAGGAGAGGGGTCTGGGCTCTGAGAGGGCTA